AGCATAAGTCTCGCAAACCAATAGCCGTCGGTTTCGGAAACTTTTTCCGTTAATTTTATTCATAGCGAATTAGTTTTGTAAGAGCTTAGCAGTTATCCTTATGAAGATTCTCAGGATCGCTACGAAATCGGCAAATCCAACAAAAGACTGTGAAGGAAACATGCACCTGCTTCCATACACATTTTTTGGCATTTCCTACGTTTTTGTGCCACTTCAGTTAAATAATAAAACAGATTATAATATTCGTTCTTTGTTCCATATTATTTTTTTCGACCATTGGGTCTTATAGGATTTGGGACTGAACACATACTTAAATAAATTAATATCTAGAAAGCGTTGATGGGGGTGAGCAGGATTCTAAACGTTTGCTTGATGAATTATAAATAAATTTTCTATATAATATCAATTACTAGTCCAAATGCGAATTAATAATTATTTTATTATTTATAACAATTTTAGTCTATTATGTATAATAAATTTATAAACACGGAACTAATCATCTGCTAGGTTTGCTAAAAAATTTACTTGGAACTTCTAGATGAGTCAATATGAGAGCCTCTGTTATTGCTACGTCTTTTAATCCAAGGATTGAAAATGTTTTATGAAGAAAAGTATAGAATAGTGCAAGGCTTCTTACAAGAAACACATTATTATCTCTTTTATATCGTTTATGAAGCTGTACTTTTTGCTTTATTCGTTTAGTTAGATACATAAGTACCAGAAGTGGTACTTCTAAATGCATTAGTTGCTTCAGTTCCATATTGCAAGAATTGATTTTTTTTTTGTCTGTCGGTAAGTATTGGTCGACATAGATCCAAATATATAGAAGTTTATATTTACTGCACTAATGCAACTTATTTCATAATTATGGTTAACTCAAAGTCGATTCAAGCTGATAGTCTCTAGCTACCATTGCTGTGTTTTTGTTCTTGCTTTATATGTAACTGACTTCTTTTCATCTATTGCAATGCAGAAATATTTAATTAAATGAATAAATATTCGTTACCTGTTTTGTATGAATTATATAAGATATGATTAATGAATTTATTCATTGATTCATTTACGTATAAAAAAAATAAAAACAATAATCAACAATATTCTGTGGAAGGCACTGAAATATCATATCAATGACTATTCAAAGCATATATTTTTATGGAAATATTGAGTTATAATTCCGTTTTAAAATTATATCTTAAAGCTCTGGAGATTTCAAAATATTTATATGAATTCTGCACACATATCATAATATCTTTTAGTCTTTTTTTATTTTACCCATTTTTTATTTATAAATGTGCAATGCATGAACAAGTGAATACATTACAGAACTCGTAAATCAATTTATTGCAGCTGCAGTGCTACATGAGAGCACTTTGTGCATTGTAAATAGTCTGCACATTTTGCTTATTATTATTTATATTTATTGCATTTTATTTTATTTTTAATTAAAACTGTCCTTTAAATACGAAAATACACACACACACACACACACAAAAGTAAGTTAATTGCATTTTAAATTTATGAGTTTACACAGCATCGGTGCCGAAACTCACAGGGCCAAGCACAGGGCCAGGCACAGGAACAGGCACAGGCACAGGAGTCTTGCCTTTTGCCACGCAATTACAGCGAAAAATTGCAAAAGCAAATGAAACTGAAATGGAAAATTTGAAATGGAAAATGTAAAAAGGAGAGAAAAGTCATTAATAAGTTTTCTAATTATAACTGCAAATCATTTTCAGGGATAATTAGAACTACAATTGCGGATTTGACCCAAAACGGTATTCGCATAAAAGTAGGAATGCATGTTTCAGGCTGGGAAAGAATTTAGATACCACCAAAGTAGAGTATCATTATATGTTGACTCAAAAATATGGTAGAAAATACTATACGTGGGTTACATAAGATTTCATAAGAGAAATCTGGTGTACCTGAAATGAATTGGAAAAAGTGCATCCTGGCAACAACACCCACAAAGGAAGTTCTCCACACACACGCCAAAATTGCATAACTTAAAGTTCCACGTCACTATCTCACTCTATGGGACTGTCTTTTTGTTTTTGCATTTGCAAATGGATGCATGCCTAAATGCACCCATGCAGACATACTATCCTCAGAGCAGCTTCAAAGGCAATTGCATTCCAGCGAAATTTATACACGTATTTAACCACATTTGTTGCAGTTCTGTCAAAGGCGAAACTTGGAAACTAAAATAAAAAAAGTATCTATGAAACGAAATATGAAATGAAGAAAAATCATTTGGCAGGTAATTTACTTTTATACTATTTTTCACATTTTTTTGACACAATTTCCGTTGAGGAGCCACGAATGCTCGTAACGATGACGTTTCGCTGTGCGTGAAAGATAAACAAGCCCATCAGTGGAGCATCTGTGTGCTACATTGCAGCACACAAAGCGCGCAAGTACATTTCTGTGAGGCATTGAAGTGCCAACATAAATTCCAGCAGAAAGACTCAAAAATTACACAAAAATTAAAACTAGCAAAAATGTTTTGAGAACGATTTTCGGAATACCACAGTACAGCGGCATCAGTGGCTTTAGTAGCATCGGTGGCGTTAGGGGAGTAAGGGACATCAACAGAAAATCAATTTGCAGTTGAAACGCTCTTTGAGGCAGGAGCGTCACTGCTGCTGACTTCACTGTTTTGCATAAAAGTTCTTTGAAGTGGTTTTTGTGTTTGTCCTTAAATTGCGTCCAATTTCAAGTGTTTTTTGAATATTTTATAAATTTCCTTTTTTTTGTTTTTTCATAAAGTCGAGAGTATTTAAGCGTATAAAAACATTTTACAAAACTAAAATCTTTTAAAATTCTGGAATGTAAATAACCGAAAAAATCCACAGTACAAAGAATTGTTGTGGAAGTATGAAGTGTAATCAAAAGATAGTTCCAACTAAATTTGGTGATGAGATTTTAAAAGAAATTTATTTATCAAAGTTTTTGCTTTCAACGATCTGTGAGGATATTATTTCGGGTAAAACAAACTTAAGTTATGTTTACTTCAAGAGAGAAAACTGCAGTCTCAAATCGAGTCTTAATGATATACAAAGATAATAGCAATAGCAAAAAATAGATGACTATTAAACGCATTTCAAAATACTTCAAGTGATGACGTCCTTTATCCAATTTTTCTCTATCTTCAATTTCAATAATATTCTTTTTCAGTTAAATCATCAATTTTTTCATTATTATTTTATTATATATTTTAACTGATTCCTAGGCTTTAATATTAACGATTCTGTCGAACGAGAAAAATTGTAAATATCATAGAACAAAATTTTCAATTTTTAAGAAATGCTTGTTAAAATTCTATATTTTGCTTATAATTTGTTTTATTTGCATGCATACCGACGTACACTAATAAAATATAAGAAAAACTAAAACCCACTACGAAAAAATTGGACAGATGATAAATTTGAATATATATTGATTGGTTGATTGCAGTGGCTAATCAGCAGATTCCTCTCACATAATTATCAATTATTCCCAGTTATAATACCAAATTTATCACAAGAAATTCCTTTAGATAAACTAGTTCCATCCAGACGAGATAGACAGACAGGCACTAAAGAATGCACTTCCCTAAAAATCTGCTTCTTTTCTTCACAAAGCTAGGCAATCACAGAGGAAGTGTGCGATGCTCCCTTCTTTATACAAATTTTCGCAACTTCTATGAATGCTGAACGAAAAACTTAGTTTCTCTCTGAGGAATGTTGAACACCATTGACCTGTATGAACTGTAATTTGTCTGGCAATGTGAACTTGGTCGCTGTTAATAAATTCCCTGCACCTAGGTTTCGTGTATAAGCCTTTATAAGTTTGATAGAGATGCTTCAGATGTTATAAATGACAAAAAATGGATATTAGTTCCTCTCATGATTGTTGCAACGGAAACATACATTGGTACATCTAGGGAAATATTCATGAAAGTAGGGTGGGGTAGGGTGACCAGTCTGATTTAAAGGTGAACGATTAAAGTGTTTTAATTGTCGCTTGGTTGAAAATGGTAAGCTTCTATTGCAGTTACCCAACACACCTCCCTAAACGCTAAGAACTCCTGATAAAGTCTGATAAAGTGCAGTATTTTTAGGTTGCCGAAAAAATTATTTATGTCTGCTAATGGAGAAAATAATCCTGTACATATTTCACAATCCCTGGTAGAATCATCCGTGAAAATTTGTTATAGGGTAGATGGTCTGTTGTAATACTGCGTCAGCTTGGACCCTGACTGCGCTGTTGTAAATGATATCTTAAGTATGGAAATCAGTGGATTAAAATTAAATAACATATTTAGTGCATCTATACGGCACATTCTACAAGTACCTGCGATACTAATACTAACTGTTTGTTGAATAATTGGGAATATAACACTAGCAGAGAAGGAAATCGAAGATTAATTATTGGAAATAAAGTATATTACCGCATATTTAAGTAGTTTGGAAACAGAATTCGGGCTAATTGCTCAGTTTTTATGTATGTTAGTGAGATCTGAGCTCCAAAATAAGAGACACGGAAATTGCATTCCTTTGAAAGAAAAGTACTCAAAAAACACCTAGTCCAGTAAATGACTAAATAAAACAGCGGTATTTAAAGATGCCACTACATTGACGAGTTGCGTGGCTTATGTAAGAAACAGAATATTGAAGTTAGTACATATATAAATTGAAAGATTAAGTCCGCCGGGCCACGTAAACGTAGTAAGGAATAACTACTGACCACGAAAAGTGCTAATTATAAAGAGGTAGAAAAGCAAGACCACGACTTAAATGAATGCACAGAACAGGGATTAGTGGAGACATAAGCACCCGATTCGGGTTGCTCAGCCAAATATACTCGTATATTTAGCCTAAATAGCCTAAAGGGTGTGTCAATATCACTGAATTTAGAAAGTTAGAGGAATGTCTGTTGATAATTTGGTGCAATGGTGCAATTTGATATTATAGTAAATATTGATATACAGGTACTTATCAATATTACAGTCAACTTACCATATCGTCTGCATTAGCGCGTTTGGGTACAACACGTCCTAATCACGATTTTTATGAAGAATCTGTAAATTAAGAAAACGAGTTAATATTTTGTACAAAACATATTTTATTTATTATTTTTAAGAAAAACTCAGATATTAAGGATTATTGATTTATACGTAAAAAAAGTATCTGCAGAGTAATTATGATTTTTTAAGACACGGAATCAAGTGCAAGCTGTTGCAACAGAAAGTTTAAAAACTTACTGAATATAAAATATAAAATTATAAGTGTCGGTTTTATTTAAGTTTTAAACTAAAACTTAAACATTAGTAAATCTAAGAATTGTTTGTTTTTAACTTAAACTGCATTGAAGATTTGCTACGCGATGTTAAGTGCAATCTCGAATGCAGTTTGTGTTTGACTTGCGATGCGCAAAAAAGTTGCATGAGAGCAAATACAAAACAAAGATTCTGATTCGGGGATTCGTATGTCAATATTTTGTCAAGTTTCCTGCTTATTCTTCACTTCACATGCACCAAGAGTTGCATTGAAATGCAGCAAGTGGCTTAAGATGTGTGATAACGGGAGAAAGAAATATCACAGGAACTGTCAAACGAACTCCTGCCAGCTGCAGTGTATGTGCCGCATGTGCAAAATAATTCACACAATGTACAGTTTTTATGGGCACTGAAATTTTATTCATGGAGTGCTCGACTCGAGTTGAGTCGAGTTGAGAGTGTGGAGAAGTTAAGATTATAATTATGTGCTGTGAACAAGTTGATGGGTTGTGGAAGTGCTGCACCGTACTTAGAGCATTTAATTAGAATAAAATGGGTTAAAAGCAGTAAATGTAGAAGTGTATAGTACCAGATTTGGAAGGAGAAGAAATGGAATATTTGTAACAAAATATGCTTAAAAGGAAAACGTTTATGTATTCCACAGTAATGTCAAATGTTGTACTTGTCATGACGTTCCTCCCCTCTAAAAATATTAACATAAATTAAGAACTTCATGGAGAAATTATCCTATTCAAATTAATCACAAAGAATTTTTGCAGGTAAATATGCTTTTAACACATAGCAAATATTTAAATGAATTTATAATCTATATGTTATGTGTAATGTTTCTATATATCGGGTCCATAACTGAAAAATCTGATATTTTTATTGAAAAAAATGCTTTATTCTGATAATTCAGTGAAATGTCATTTAAAATATTGCTCATTAAAAGTTATGACATTCGCTCGTCTTTCGGTAATAGCTTCCTTCAAACGAATCAATTACTTAACAACTCGTTACTGAGTTTCGGAGACTGACGCAGCATATCTCCCCAGACGCCTCTGCTTCGTGTACGCCTTCTCCAGTCTCGTACATCAAGTCCGGTTAGTGCTCCTTAACTACTACTACTGCCAACTACTACTTCAAAAACCTTTTTAGCTGAAGCATCTTCATCCATTCTCACGACTAAGCCATCGAAGCCGCTGGATGTTAATTCGCTGAATAAACGAATCAATCATACTTTGTGTAAAATTTTTCCTTAATAGTTTAAGCTGATTTTAGTAGCTCAGATGCACGAAATCTACCATATCCTACTGAACTTAGTGTTAATAATGTATATGGTATAAGAAAAGTGCTATTAGAAATCTCAACACGTGAATATAAACGTCTGTATGCTGAAGATACTAGCAAGCTGCTTTCAGAAAAAAAGAGAGATAGAGTACGAAAACTGAGTAGTTAAAATATTGAAATAGTTTTGCAAAAAGTCAATGTATCTTCAAACTAATCCTCGACGCGAATTTTTTTAGACTTGCTCACGAGCATATAATGCAAGATCCACTACTAACGACGGGCCATCGACGTAACATTGAGCATATTATGCTTTTGAGGATACACCCAACCAGGTGGATAAGACGTTACCATGTTTTAACAATAAAATATTTATTTTTTATTGAATTTTACAGTTGTTAAAGGAAATATCTCACTTAATTATAGTTTATTCAGTTATTACCGCCCATAAGTGACTGGGCTATTTGTTATCGAATTTCAGTGCTTAAGCTATGTACCCAAGAATCGAGTGTTATATACGGATGACAGGTGTAAAAAACTCTTGAGAAACATATAGGAAATATATAAAAAAAATCAAGATAATTTTATTTTTTGTACAAAATTACAACAAAATATTTGTGTGCTTGCAGTAGAGTTGATATTGGAGTTAAACACACTATATCGACAGTATATAAAAGGATGCGGTACCCGATATTGCAATACCATTATGCATGCGAAGATAACCTCACTATTACAGTGTACAGGAATACCTTTACCCATCACAAAAAAATACGGAAATGGAATAGGAATTCAATTTACATTTACTCAAATTTAAGTAAAAAACCCAACTGTCACAGCGAATGAAACTCCCTTAAAATTGGATTTTTGTGGTATATTGTCAAATTCGCCAGAGCGTGTATATTTCAATTTTAGTCAAATAAAGTGCAGCTTACAATTATAGAAAAATCCTATAAAAAATGGATGCTTTCAGAAGTACAAAATGGTTAAAGTTTTTGTGTATTTGTGTTCAAAGTGGTAAAAAGCAAGTGTTCGTTGGTCGATTAAACGCACATGGAATGAAGTTCTGCGGCAGCCACTGCAACTCCGACTGCAGCAAACTAAAAAATTGTAACAATGAAAGGACAATATTCCACCCAACACCCAAAGGGATACGTTTTGCGAATATTGGAAAATCGCGTTTGAATATTGCAAGAATATAAATTTCGTCACAATTTTTTAATCACTATTTTTTATGCAGTCGCACATATACATCGTGTAGATGGAATATTCCAGAATATTACAGAAAAATGTTCTCCAAAAAAGGGAAATGTTTAAAAATTTTATTCCTGAAAGTGTACGAAAAAAAGTCTCGAAAATCCTTCGATGCTGAGTTTGTGTGGCAAACCAAGTAATCGAAAAATTCAGCTCTATTGAATTTAATAGTGAACATAGTGAGTGGGAACAGCTCAGTTATAATTCATTTTGTTGGTTTTGGAAATCGATTCCACACAAGGAACTTTTACATTTTTAAAAAATTAATCCAGTATTCATAACTGGAAACATTTAACAAATTGAAGCTTTGTTAATTAACAAATATTCAGGTGCTTCGCTTTCACTTAGGGAGATATTCCTTGGTGCTTGCAACAAAAAGAATATTTTTTTATCTTATTTGAAAAAATATTCAATCCACCAAACTCTCAAAAGACAAACTCAAGAAAATATTAAATTATACACCCCTTATTTTAATGCCGAATATGTTCTTATACATAGATGCCTTTTTTCGAAACCGTTTCCAGCTTTTTTTTAGAACACCTTAGTCTTGTGGAATAATTTATCATTCGAAATTCTTCTTATACAGCATGATAAGAATTTCTCTCTATATAACAAGAATTTTTGGTCAAAATCAAATGAATGTAAAATTCCCGTGGCCAATCGTCATGTCACTCCCGTTTGTAGTTGCGTTTTCTTTATTCCTTATTCTTGAAGTACAGTACAGTTCGATGATACTAAAGGGACATAAACCTCACTAAACTCTACTTTTCAGCGTGTACCCGTAGCTGATAGAACACCATCGAATTTGCTTGCTTATCTGGCTTCCAAATGTGACTATGTTGCTAATAGACAACGTCACTAATGCAGAAATGGGGCTCGTCTTGAAATACAGTTTTGCCATAAAAATAAATGAAGTTTTTCTCATCAATACGCTTCTTCACTGAAGTAACGTTAAGTGACGTGTGCCGCTAGCTGATAGATCATCATCGAATTCGTCTTGCTAATCTGCCTTCCAAATGTGACTATGTTGCTAATAGATAACGTGACAATGTGACTATGTTGCTAATAGACAACGTGATTAATGCAGAAGTGAGTCCCGTCTTGAAATAAAGTTTTGCCATTAAAATAGATCAACTTTTACTTATCGACACGCCTCTTCATTAAAGTGATGTTAAAAACTTTGGTCATTTCTTACCATCGTCAATTCTTACTGTATTTGAAAGCTCCGTGTATGATGCTTGTTTAAAATCGACCATAGCATTGATGTATAGTAGGAAAGTTCTTGTAAGAATAAATAAATCGGTATATAAGAGTTTTCACAGACAATTTTATTGGAATTATCTTAATACTCTTTAGCATTCTTGACGGTAGCTTAGCGATCAAAACAGTAAACTGAGAGGCAGTCAATTCGCTTCACCAATTCAGTTAGATCCTACGATTCATGACTGTTTGACAGTTATGGAGCCATTTTAAAATTTTAATGAAAACAGACGATATTTTTAATTAGTCTATATTAAGGATAGTTAAGTACAGGAAAGTGTTAAAAGTGTCAATCTTTTGAAATAAAAAAATGAGAGCATATAGTCACAGTTAGATTTGCTATGTTGGACTTTTACATTTGTGGTATCCGTAATCCGTATAATATGATTATATTTTTAAAGAAAAGTTGCAGGCATGAGTGTACCTAAAGTATATCGAATTGCTCTATCAAATAATCAATCTATATTAGTTTGTTTAGTATAATATTTATGTAATAGTTCATAATAGTTGGTAGAATTTTTTTGTTGCTAAATATTTTGCAACTTGAATTTCAAATTACTTTCGTTATTTGCTCCCACACTCTTAACCAATGCATCAAATTCACTTGCAGCAACTGCAGCTGCTGCAGCAGGAACAGAAGCAGCAGGAACAGAAGCAGCAAGAGCAACTGCAGAGTATAATTTTGCATTGTTTTTGATTTGATGCCATAAACCAATCGAAACTGATTGCTTATGCAATACCGTGTCGCGCGTAGGGGAAAATGCATATGCAAATCGCTTTTGAGGTGTAGGACTTTCTAACGCCCTTCTCCAGTGCTCCAGTGTGGGACTGTAGAATATCACAGGGCATTGGGAAAGAAAATGTAAATAATTCATGCCACGATTTATTGTTGCAGTTCGATATTCGGTCGCTGTTTTTTTCGAAAACAAAAACCAATTGAGTGAGTGCGCGCATCTGAAGTTGGTTCGATTGATTTATTGATGCTTGTATTGATGAACGCAACT